TTACTGAAAACAGCCACCTGTGACGACCTTGCCATTATCTATGCATACATTTAAGCCTTAATATAAGTTTCATGACTTTTTTTTGTTTTAGTTTGTTCAATCTACCCTCCATACAGTCATTAAAGGGGGATTTAGCTATAGAGACAGAACCGTGTGTTTCTGTGGTAAAATTTAAAATTTTAATATGGGGCCTTATGGCGATTGACTCCCAGCCTCAAGGGGCCGTTCATGGAATTGCAGCTTTTGTTACTTCCGTGCTGGCTTCATTTCTCAGCCACAGAGGTTGCCGTTGATTACAATACAGTGCTGAAAGCAATTTCTTTTTAGGAGGTATTGATGGATCAGGTGAAACATTAACATCCTCATATTAGCTCTGCTAACTTACTATTATGATATTGCTGGTTATATACAAACACAGCACCAGGTTACAGAAACACTCAGGAGTCAAATGCGGTATATTTCTGGATGTATCGACAGTGTGTGGGAGCCACTCCACACTGACAGCTTCTGTGGATACAAACCATGGGCCGATACTCTTGTCACATCAGCCTGAGCTGAGCCCAAAGCCACTTCAGCTGCACCCTTGTGTTTATCTTACTGTGACATTCTCCCTGCTGTTACACCGAAGCCTACCTCCTCCACCCTCTTCCACACCAACACTACCCTGTGTAAGATACCTGCTAAATGGAAAGAGAGATAGATTCATTTAATGGTGGTAGAGAGCTACAGAGAAAGTGACGTAGAGGAAGAGAGAGAGAGAGAGAATGAGCGCGCTCCAGTCTGCTGTGAAAATGCTGATGCTTTCTCACTTATGAGAGGCCCAGATGTGACACAAGGGTCATTTGGTTCTACATATGTAAAAACTAAACTGCGTGGGTCTGTGTCCTTTTTAAATTTGTGAGGTTTAGGTTAGAGTCTTGAATTAGTAAAAAGGGATATAGAAATCAACCAAGGGAAATTCAAGGTCTTCCCAAGTATTTAGTGTTAGGGTTTAGGATTTAGCTGCATGTCTGTATCCTAAAAATTATGTTCATATACAGATAATTTGTATCACCTAACACATTTTGTAAGATCACATTTATTATCACCATAATGAGCAAACATTTATATTAAAAGTATCTGCAAACTGACCTAGGCCACGGACTGTGTCTGCAAAATGTTCACTGTCAGTATATTTAATTTGTTTTTCCTACAATATTAGCTCCATGGCAACTAAAGCACGATTAACGTTGTTATGGTTTTATTTAGGTGACTCAAAGAACTTGATTTAGGGTTGGGAAGGTCTGTGGTTTTGATTTGAATATTGACAAAAGGCTGACTTGAAAGACACGTTGACTTGTTCAATACTGAACCAAAAGGAACTAAAGGAGCCAAACCAAATTGCTGGAAATACGAGGAACAGTCCATCAAGCCTGGTTTTACTCAGACTAGCCCAAGTGGCAGTCGTCTCAGTTTTCTCTGAAGAGCCCACAGTGTCAGACTTTGAAAACCTTTAAACCTCCACAACATACAACAAACATACAACTGAATGGGGTTGTGAGTATGAAAATGATGCGAATCATATGCCCATTTGGCCTTTGCAGTCACCTAAGAGGGAATATATTTTGGGAGAACCTGTTAATCTCTCTAGTAGAGTTGTAGAGAATCTATGACAAGGAGTTCTGATTTTGGGGGCTCATGATAGCCCATCACCTCACCAATGTTGGGTTTTTATTTCATTTGTCACCCATCAGCTACATTTGACAAATTGAATTAGCCATATATTAAACTATGTATAGGGTAAAGGGTGGAGTAGGAGTTATAGTATGTAATAAAATCCTCCCTATCCCACATACAATAAATCCACAAGAGAAACATCTGTCAGTTAAAATAAGCTTTTTGCATTTCATGCACTTGAACTGTATGTATGCCCCCCCATACACTCACACTGACCTCACGTTGAACCAACATCCATATCGCTTGTCCACACGTATGCCTGAACAGTAGATAGGATACTGTGTTAAATGTGGACACCCTCGGGTGCAGTGGCCACAGTTTCTCCCTTACAAGCTGGCGCTCAGGTGCCCTTGGGCCCCGCAAAGACGCTAGCTGAGTTGACATCCACGTCGGAGCCACGTCTGCTCCACGCCTGTCTGAATTAGGGCTTTACTGCTGGGCTGAAACAGCCGACAATCTGCCCTACCTCGGGGGAGGCCAGCGTAGAGGTCAATATGCTCAAATGATTTTACCCTTCTGCAGAGAACGAGCAGTCTTAGCTTTAGGATATTTAGTCACTCAGAGGATTGTTTCCTGGCGTGATTTTCTCGATGTGTCCCCTGCACCTCAAACACAGAGATTCTCATTGGTGCAAGTGATGACTGATGGTCGTGGAAATATGAAGCAGCGTCCTCGACAGTAAACAGATGCTGACCAGCAGATCACCATGAACAGGCCCTCCGAGGTTTTGGACGTCTACTGTATGCCCTGTGAGGGAACATACAGTAGTGTGTGTGTGTGTGTGTAGTCCGAAGGAGTTTGTGAAGGCTTTCCCTCTGAAGTGTCAAGCTCCCAGAGAGAGGATCAAGTGCTAAGCTGGGGACTCAGGAGCTCAGTGCCTGGTGTGTGTGTGTGTGTGTGTGTGTGTGTGTGTGTGTGTGTGTGTGTGTGTGTGTGTGTGTGTGTGTGTGTGTCCAGCAGCCCACACTTGTGGTTTTAGGGATTGAAGAAGTGATATATCCTTTTATCTGTTACTGTGGATGAGCACAAGCCTGACCAGAGTCGCCCCGCAAGGCTAAATCCACGCACTCAAAGGATGGATCAGTGTGTGTGTGTGTGTGTGTATGTGGACTTAGAAAGGTGCATCAGAGAGCAGGGCCTTTCTTCTGAGGGGAAAGAGCAGAGTTGAGAGGTCAAACACACATGCGGGGGGTCAGTGAGCAGCCTGGCAAGCGGAACAGAGAACAGAAACACACGGGTCAGTTATTATGTGTGTGTGTGTGTGTGTGTGTGTGTGTGTGTGTGTGTGTGTGTGTGAGGGAATTGGAATGAGACTTCGAAGATGAAAACCATTAAGACATAGAATCACACTGTTTGCATATATGCCATCTGTATGTGTCTGTGTGTATCTAACTTAGAGTTACTTTCACAGAAAATCGTTTTTCGTCGTGTCAGTCTATAATTACATATGGCCTACATGTCAGACCATACCTCTTTGGTCTGTATTACAAAGGACTGTAACAGCCGTAATCATAAAAGTAGTTTCTGGCGGGTTGTGGTCAGATAATACTAGTAATGTAATTTGTTATTCCGACCTATTCCAAAAATTCTGTTGTTAACAATTGGTAGCTAATTTTACTTTAAAACTACTATACTATCACCCATTGATACAAATATTTAAGAAAAGGAAAAATAATATGCCTTCATCTATGGTAGGGTCACAAAAAATCCAATCCCAGGCACTCGGTGGATGTTCAACGATTAAAGGCCTTTAATAAATACAGGCTAATACATTGGTTCCCAGCCTATTTTGTTTGCAACCCCTTTATATGAAGCAATGACTCTTGCAAACCTTTGACTTTGACCTTTATGCCTTTGACTTGTGAACAGCTGAATTGAAGACTGCTTTTCCCTTATTAGACTGCTTCATATGAAATCTTTATTGAGGCCTTGAGCTGTGAAAAACCTTACAGTGGCCACTTCTGGTCTTTTTTACAACACACTGGATGCGTTGACATACAGTGCTTTTGTGATCTGGATGGCACCAGACTGAAAACATGGAAAGCTCCAGAGTGGAGTTGGTCTTTGTAGAGGAGTTAGCGAACATGTACCTTAATAAAAACACCAGTTCATTATTATCTGTGTACCAGAAAATGTAAAAAAAAAAGTTATGTAATGTTTGATACCAATTTATAGAAGAAAACAGTGACTGAATTGGTCTGGAGTACCAGCACTCCTGAGTTTTGTCCAGAGTACCCTTATTTCTTGAGTAGCGCCACTTCTGGTGGACATGGCCATACCCACCACTGAGGTCACCAGTATTTTTTCGAAGGGGTATACAATAAAGGTTGTGAAATAACTGTCTGATGGTCGTGGAAATATAAACCCCCTTGCCATTTATGGACCTTGGTATTTCTAAAACAGTGTAACTGTGTGATAGCTAGCTCAACACTTAGAAAACAACACTGAAAAGGTCCTTGTTAAAATTCCAAAAGAATTAGGGTTAGGGTTATGCTGAATTAGAGCACTGGCAGATTGTTTGGTCCAATTCAGGCACTGGAAAAGAATATGTGAAGTTTTTACTAGTAAATTTAGTCCTGGGTCTGTATACCATTAATGGGTGAAAACGTGAATACTACACAATCATTGTGTCTGATAATTGCTCAGCATGTGGGTCTATTTGTAGCTCCATTTCATTTCATTTTCTTGTTGTCGATCTAACAAGTAATTTTACACAGCAAAAAGACAACAGTCCTAAAGTACCTCTAGGACTTTAAAAGCATGTGAAAATAAATGTTGTGCATGTGACACTATTTTACACTGCTAATATTGCTCATATTAAGAGGTAGTGTATTAGTAACTGTGAACCAAGTGGACACCATGGCTACGCATTTTATAATTACTCCATGAAACCTCTCTCTATCTTTACTCTATTTATAAGACACAGTGAGCTCAGCCCGTCAACCTACGCAGTAGCGACAGAAGCATGACTTTCATTTACACTTGGGATAAGGCGATCCTCTCAGCAGGAAATGGACATGTACAGACGATGTGATTTTACCGCTCCTAACGTCTTATACCGCGCGGTTGTGGCGCATCATGTCAGGGGGAGGCTGAGCTACCTGACAACGCGGGCAGAAATGTGTTAAAAGGCAAACCGTGTTTGTCGTTGTGTTTTCACAGCTATGACCTAAACTACAACAAGAGTCAGCGTTACCGTGGGGACAAAAGGACGGCACAGATTGGTCCGTCGTGGTCACAATCTCATTCTCAAAACCCCCTCTGTTTCTTCTTTGTTTTTACAGGTCGATGCACAGATTTGCAAGATCATTGGTTATGATCCAGTGCATTTGACCTCGGCCGGAACCAGCAATCCACCTGGGGTATGAGAGACCGTATGCACACACACACACACACACACACACACACACACACACACACCTAGGTGCAAAGAAACACACTCGTCTGTTAAATGGAGTGAACACATCACTCTTTACTAAGTAGAAGTTTCACTCATCTCTCCCCCCTCGTTCCCCCATCTGTCCATGTCATCCCTCACTACTCCACTTTCACATCACCCATCAGTTAGTCACACACACACACACTCTCTTTCTCACACACACACACACACACACACACTCTCTCTACACATCAGCCATCAGTTTGTCCGACAGACACATAAATGTACATCTTCACATTCACGCACAGGCCGACTCCTTTACATCACACGTCAGATCACCCCAGATTCTCTCTCTCTCTCACACACACACACACACACACACACACACACACACACACACACACACACACAATGCATCACACATCAGTTATATCTTTTATGCTGAAGGAGAGAGGGGGTGTTGGCAGCGGGAGGGGTTGACAGGGGAGAAGAGGAAGTACACAGGAAGTACATTAGTTATCACTCCCATGTCTTCTGCACCTTTTCACTTCTTATCACCACCCGATGTCTCAGACCCCAGCCGAGCTGCTTCTCCTTCTCTTCCCACCCCCTTTTTTCTTTTCTCTTTCTGTCTCTCCCTTTCTCACACACACGCCTCTAAAAATGACTTCCATGCTCCACTTTAGTGTCGGGCCCTGGGATCTAGATGACACTTGGCAAGCCGCAGAAGCCGCGAGACAACTGGATGAAATATTTAAATGAAAAACGGCAGGGGTAGAAGAGGTGAAGAAAGGAAGGGGGAAAAAGAGAGAGAGAAAGGAATACAGGACAGAGGACGAGGGAAGGAGACAGTGACGATATTCAGATGGTGAGCAGAATGTGAAGGATTTCTTTTCCTGGCTAAGAGAGGGCCATGTGACAAGAAGTGCAGATGAATCGGCTTTCACCTACAAAGTAGCCTGTCGAGAAATAAACCAATATAGAGTGAGATCACATTGCTTTGTCTTGGAATCATCTGCACGTCTCAGTATGTGTCGAAGTACTTTCAGCACTGTGCCAGCTCAGCTGCTTGTAGGAGAGCAATGAATCTCATACATGACCAAATGAAATGGGATTTTATGACCGTAGAATTATAAGGTTCTGTCTGACTTTTATCCGTTAGAAATGTTAAATGCTAAGGCTAGCATGGCAGCATGCTAAGTGACAGCGCTAACATGCTGATGTTTAGCATGTATACAGGATACTTACTCGATCGATAAAGTTTGTTTCACTATGCTAGCGTTCTAACAAACTCAAATTGGCTTGGTATTGTCATTTCACAGGAGGGCCGAATCAACATTCAAGTACTGCAAAAAAGTGCTATGTTCAAAATAAAATATAAAACGTTTCCATTCCTAACTTAAAAAAATGCAAACAGCAGTTTATATGAATTCTTATATATTTTTTTTATATAATCTTTGTTGTTCACAGCCACAAATAAACACCTGAAAACTGCTCTCTGTTTGCATGCATTTGTTGGCACCTTTGACCTTTGCCATTATTTTGCACCAAACTAAATACTTTTGTAACTTTTTTTTTAACTGAATATGAAGGAGTAGTGTGCCAAATATTATGGCAATCCATCTGATATTTGTTGAGATATCTCAATGGATAAGTCAAAAACGTAGACAAAAAGTAGGGCGATTACCAATCAATGAATCATCTGATCTATGATATTGATATCTGTTACAGATTAAATATTGCAGATATATTTTGTTAAAGCATTTTGTAACATTGTTTTTTTAATATGCAAATGAATGTTATTATTATTACCAAATCACAGCAATCCATCCAATAGTTCTACAGTCTGAAAAGGTTCTATTGATAAAGTTTCAACTGCAAAGCCAATCAGTGCTCAGGTAGTACACTTGAGGACTAATGCAGTTTTGCCTCTTTACCAGGTTGCCTCATTGCTCTGTGACCTTATGTTGATCATTGTATTGAAGACATTATGACTATCACTGATACAAACGTCAACTGGCTCGTTTTAATTTGGTGAAAAGCTGTTTTTATTTTACCTCTAGCTTCTAAACTTGAGATCCGGGGTATTCAACTGCATTTGTCCAAGGGCCAGAATTTTTCTAAGCTGACACTTGAGGGCCAGACTATGAAAAAGTAAATAATTAAAACTTTAATTTAGGCCTAATTAGCCTATTATTGTTTCATATTTTAATTTTCTTACACAATTCAAGTTATTTTTCATAAGCCTGACTCAGTGTGAACAGACTAAAAAACATGGCAATTAATCCATAATTATAACTAGATACTTAGATAGAAAATGCTCTCAGACCTCCACCACCTCACTGAGGAGAGATGTTGAAATCTGTAATTGCAGGACGCAGTCCTGATTTCCAGGAAATATTAATCACCTTTAACCAGTTGAAATGCAATATGCAGTTACACCATTATTCTGCACGTGACACCTGTAGTTAAATGTGATTTAATACTACAGCTTACATGATTCTGGGGGCAGCTAAACAAACTATTGTCATTTTAATAAGGAAGTCAGGCAATATTTTGGCCTTTTTTTTTTATCATTCTGTGAGCAACCGTGATCTGATTGTATTCTGCACAGGCCATGAGTTTGTGAACAGCGACAGTAAAAGTATCTTTGGTTACCTGGCTGAGAAGTTGGAGGTGTGCAGCTCTTCATCTAACAGCTCACTGTGGCTGCTCCTTCTTATTCTATTACTCCCTGCAATATATCAAACAGTTATCTTCTTTTGTAGATGCACTTTTGATGAACGATAGCGGGCAGCCAGCGTCAAACTTCCTGAAAAAACAATTTTCTGCATTTCCTGTGACGACTACTTCATAATAAAAGTCAACTTGTGTTTTGCCAGTTAAATGCTTTTAATGTGAAGCTGCAGCAGTAGGAAATGTTCAGTGTGCATTAAATGACCAGAGTTGCTGATGCAAGAAAGCGGATGCAACTGTGTGAGCGGAAAAGAGACCAAAAGAACAGCAGACAAGTGGACAGAAAGCATCAGCAGAAATTAGTAGAGAAACATTTTCTTTTATAGTTTTTTGCATTGTTTTTAATTCCATTGTTATATAAGTATTTAAAATGTATAGCTGTGCATGTGCCAAAATATCATAATTCCTTTTAATAATGAACACAGTGATTATGTGTATTTAAACAACACTGTCTCTTTGTTTTCCAATTCATTGCTTAAATTTCAGCCTTAGATTAGGCGTTTGCAGTTTGTTCTTACTATTAGGAGCTATACTATTTTGATGTTACATATTTAGAGTGCCTTTAGGGTGCCGGTTATTTTGACCGATAAAAGAGAACTTTACTGCGTGCCATCTTTACAATTTTGCAGTAAAACCAGGATTGCAGACAGAACCTTTCGGTTATGTTTGCTTCCATTTCCAATTCAAGATACAACAAAGAAGCACCTTTAGGTCTATGTGTGTGTCCAAACATCCACTTACTGTAAAAGCTCTCCTGAATTATTTTTATAGCTGTATGCTGGTTGTGCATAGGTGCATGCATTTGTGTGTTTAGTATGTACATAATTGTACTGTACATAGATATATGTGTGCATGGGTTTGTGTTTGTAGAATAATTTATGCCTCTTTATGTATGCTGCATTACAGTTGTATGGGCATGCTTGCAAAGGACTGTGCTTGCTGCAGAGCTGGACATCAGGCCTGTCTGTCAGAGAAGTTTGACAGCATGTATAGGCAACAAACTTAAATGTGAGGCCAAAAAAGTGAAGCAAATTTTACTCCTGCAGTGTACAACTGCAAAAAAATATATAATAATTGGAAAGAGAAGTCAATAAAAACTGAAGATTTGATATGCAAAGTGTGTTGTTTGAATTTTACAGCATTGCACTGATTTTAGACAGGCTTCAGGTCATTGTGAGTAAGGTGAATGGCATATGCACAAGAAAACTAGAGAAAACAACTGCCAATATGTATGTGTTCTATATTCATACCATCAGTTTCCGGTTATTGTAGCGAAACAAAAGAGAGAGAGAAAAACTCATGTTCTTCATTATTCTCCTGAACAGATTCTGCATGCAGCAATGAAAATGCTAACGTATTGCCATCCAGTAGTTGAGAGCAAAGTATTACTTCAAATAAACATTCTGTTTCCCAGTGCCGGGCTTGGTGAGTAAATGGAACGGAGAAGGAACAGAGGGGTTTTCTCCTGCGCTGATTGGGTGCAGATGTGAGCCCCAGTCTGGGTTTGGTTAAAGTCCCGCTGCCAGGAATATTCGCTACAATTCAATAAATAGAGCTGTTAGGAGCAAGGCATTTCCTTGTCACCATGTCAAGGTTTCAGAACGGATGTTTCATATTGAGTGTTTTCACTCTGTCTATACTGTATCTAATGCTTAGCCTATACACCCAGCTGAATATAAAACACTGTAACTCAAGAATGCTGCTATTGAGAGGCTGCAGTTGCAGATTAAATGATGCATTTGAATTTGAATTCAGGCTTGGATTCACACGTGTATTAGAGTTCAACTGATTACGGTTTCTGGATGGCCATACACAAGATTTTGGACCAAAAGTCTGTATGGCATATATTTTATATAATAATATTTAGATGCTCAAGGGTATCAGGATGCGGAAATATTCTGGTGAAACCCAGATTAATGAAGCCATTTTAGTTATTTTCTTATTTTAATTTTGAAACAACAAAACAGATCTCTGCACCAAAATCCTTTTCCCAACTAAATATTTTATATAATATGGAGTTTAGCGTAAATAACTCCCAATTGGACGGTTAAAAAAATGTGTTTGAGGAATATTAAACTATTCCTGTAATTAAGAATTAAATATTCATCTAGATGAACATCATAAATATTTGTGATGCATGCACCTTTCCAAACCCCAAACCCCACATCTGCACAAATATTCAATATCGGGATAATTAAAGTATTTATCGATGCAATTCAAAGACTTTAAATTTGTTTTTTATCTTACATTTTGACTGAGGTTTAACCTCTCTAAAATCAAAGATGACCCACTACATCAACCCAAATGCTGCACATTTGGCGGACAGGTGGAGCATTTAAGTGAGACTTCATCATCCGCATCAGCCTCATATCAGCACACATACACATTCAGCACACTCACGCCCTCATCTCCTCCATCGCTCCTTCAGCTCCCTCTTGCTAATAATCTGCCTTTGCTTCCCCCCCCTTCCTCTCCTCCCCTGTGCCCATCTGCGGAGCGATCAAATCATCGTATGGAGAAATCCTGGTGATCCAAGAGGGCCAGGCAGAAAGGTCACGGAGAGAGTCCGTAAAATGGATGAAGCCTAATGATTAGCTCAACCTTTACCTAATCAATAATCATTTATCCAACAATATCACCGGCAGCCATAGCCCCATTTGCCATTAACCTCAGCGGTGAGGAGAGAGGCAGTATTGTTTCTTCTGGCAGCTTTACGGCACTCAGATGAGTGGTAGGGGCTGGGATGGAAGCTTAAGGTTGGATCTCGATGGCTCAGATCCTATTAAGGGACTGTAGGTATTTTAGTGTAGCAGTGTCATATAATTACCCTTTTGAATGATTGAGTGTGACACCGGCTGTTGAAACGGTAGAATCGGACGGTCTTTTTATTAAAGCATAAAATGATAAAAGGGTGTCTTACGAACATGATATTAATTAACAGATGTGCTATTGGAATTATGTTAAAAACACTAAAAAGTGTAATTTTCTGCTGTCAAACCAAACTTTGAACAACAACACAGGAGCTCCATTTTGCTTCTTTGCTGCGATTTTAAGAAAGAAAATAAATGATATCTGTGTATGTTTAATTCAGCTTTTATTGCTTTTTATAGCAAAACACTGAAACAAACTGCAACCTATTCTGCGACATGGAAAACATCTCTCCACACACTCCCTCTGTCTCTCTCTCACACACACATGCAGCAGCAGCAGCGCTTGTCTCCTCTGTGTCTCCATGATGCCATCTTCATCATAACCTCTCCCTCTTTATTGCCTTTAATGACTCCCCCTCTCCTTTCATTAATTCTTTATTGATTCGTCCTGACGTTGCCTGAATTATTTTCCAATTACAGCAAATAAAAGAAAAGAAAAATCCATTGCAAATACATGCCTGTATGTGTGTGTGTGTGTGTGTGTGTGTGTGTGTGTGTGTGTGTAGGTATTTGTGTGTGTGTGTGGTTATGTACCTTCAGCAACTAACTGCAGCACATACCTACACATATCTACGAGTGGTTATTGTTCAGACATTGCTACCATTTGGTGCATGGATTTGTGGAAATTCGTAGCTTTTTTTATTTTTATTTTGTGGTCAAACACTCTTTTGCACACACACACACACACACACACACACACACACACACACAGACGAGGCGGAATGTGACGGCAGAGAAAGGGTGGTAAAAGGTCACAGGAAGCTAATGGCTCCAGCTATCTTACACGGAATAAGTTCAGACACTTTGGACAGGTTTGTGTGTGTGTCACGGAGGAGTAAGGGGGCCGGACGTGAGCGGAAAACAACACACCGGCAGACTCGTGCACATCCACGGAGAAGTTTAGGGCCGCACAATTCACAAGGGCAAACACACAGATACATATTAGGCATAATGCAACACAAGTGTAATTACAGAATCTTTTAATATGCTGTTGTGAGAGTGTGAATGATGCTACCGATACCAGATAGGTTTAGTCGCTGAATTAGCCTCAGAGGTCCATCAGATGGCTCCAGTTAATACCCACAGGTCATTAATTACAACAATTATTCACCTTCATATCGCAGACACATATTGACTCTTGTTTTTACGCCTCGGCCTGGCTTGTCTGATGATGCACCCAAAAGGGCGATGGGAAAATAAATGTATGAAGCATGTGCATGTTTTTGTGAGTGTATTGAGGATGGAAATAGATTTTTTTTTAACCTGCATGGGAATCTTGAATTGTTTATTATGTACTGTACAGTGCGCTGGCTCCTCTGTTGTCCAATTAGATGGTATTACTCTGAGGCAGTGTCAGAGAAAGTGATGGTTAATGATGTAAAACATGATTCAGGTGAGCCTCATACAAATGTGCAATGCACAGATGTGCATGCGAAGGTTTTTTGCCATCAGTCACATTCGTCTCGTGACTTAGAAATGAGCAGCGAGAGGAAATTAAATTAGCTTCTATTATGCACTTACCTGAGAAGTGTTTTGTTGTTCTGTTGTTTCCTCTGCTTTTGCAAATGTGAGCCATCTGTTATCTGCTTTGTCTGCGTGCATGCACTGCTCCCAAGTGCTTGTATTTACAGTATGTCCACCGCCGTGCATGCCTGCCTTTGCGAGTGTGTTAAATTTGTCCCTGAGTGTGCATTTGCGCGTGTGTGTGTCCTGACCTCTCCTGCCCTCTCTCTTCCATCTCTCCTTTGAGAGTGTGTGTGATATACAGAGCTCTAATTGTCAGGTCTGGCCCCCACATTCCTCGCCTCGGCCAGCCTACCAACACTGTGTCACTTTAACAACCGCGAATTATCACCGCGATGGAGATCTCGGCTTCACAGTGGCTCTATGAGAATATAGATACATTTCCTTCAATAAATTGCCCCCTCCAACCACCAGCGCTGCACAGCCGCGCACACACAACTCACTACCTGTCCACAACCCTCCCCCTCCTCCTTCCTCACATTCACTGCTCTCTGACTGACATTTTTACCGCAACATTATTGCGTCTGCCTCGAGATGGGAGAGCCGTCGCCGCACCAAATGTAGCTAAAGTATCCACCTAAAAGGGGGGATGAGATGAATCCGGCCCCTCGGTATCATTTGACCAGGGTTATTGATTCTCACAGAGCTGAGCGGGATCAGAGTGGGTTTCCCATAAAGTCAGCGGCCACGGTGACGGCAGACAGGAGAAGAGGACAGGGCATAAAGATAATACATATACATGTCTGGTGACTGGGGATCGTTTCTTCTAATAACATCTGTTCTTACTTAATCTCTGCTCAGGCTACAAGCTGCTTCATCTTGCACAAACGCATCTGATCCTTTTGTTTTAGGTGGAGTGTATCCAAAGAGGATGTGTTTCATGCACTGCATTTATTTCTTTTCTGGCTGTGAAATTACATTTTATGTTGAGACAATAAAGACAATAAAGTGAGTGAAATCAAAGGAAGAAGGTGATCTTTTTTTTCCTCTAAAAAGTAGTCTTGGTCACATCTAGCAGAATACAACCACTGATATCATGAATTTTACTCTAAAAATCCTTAAAAAGGAAGCACGTACAAATGGTGAACAAAGTCATTATCAAACTGGACCATTAGATCCCAGCTTGCCATGTGGTTCATTTTTATATCAGCGCTAAACAAAAATAATTCCAACCACCCAATCGGATGCAGCCTAAGTACTTCAGCATGGCCGTGCGAAGCGAGGCAGTCATCTTCTCCAGCGGACGGGATGCCACGTAAGTGTTTCAGTCTGTCTTTATAGAAGTCCAGGCCAGCTCCGCTACAGGCTCAGCCAGGACCGGGGGTTTGGCTTAATGAAAGGCAGATTGAAAAAGGCTCTTGATTGATTTCCTACATCTTGATTTGATATCCTGAATTAATTATTTGAACTTGAATAATATATAAAGGAAAAATAAATGTAGAACACTCAGGGGAAACAAGCAGAGGGCTTCAGTGCTGCCGCCGCCGTTGCTGCTGCGGCTGCTGCACGGTATCTCTTAGTCAATCTTATCTCCTGTTGCTCTGAAGGAAAGTGTGTGTGTGTGGTGTGCATACATGTGTGTGAGCAGCCAGCTGTGTTACGTGTGTGTTGCAGTGTAGTTTTTGTCTGTGTGTATGCAGCAGGGAAAGAAAATG